ATGCAAGGCAGGAGAGCAATCCCCACTTATCGCTCTTTCTTTGGAGACCTCCTCCTTCCCACATCCCCTCTCCAAACACGAGGACCATTCCCACACCCACATCTCCTCCATACCTCACTCGCATGAAGGGGTTGTACGTAAACTCTTCTGCAATGGTGGAGGGTATGGTTGGCTCACCACTGTCATACTTTGCCTGCAACAAGGGAAAGATTTATGTTTAATGAATGATATTCTGGTGAACAAGAAACGTCCTGTATATATTAACCATGCAGGGTTAGCGCACCTCACTGCCTGAGCTGCCCCTCAGACCAGGCCCTTCCCAGGGCCATGCACCAGACAAGCACTGGGGTACGCACAGAGAGACTTGGGACAGAGCTGACCCTCCCAGACAGACGTGGACATCAGCCTATAATTATACCAAGAAGTTTCCAGGAAGGGTCACATCTCCACCGGGCAGCAAACTGTCTTCTCTGGGCCACACACAAACCCTATTCCCAACATATCACTCCCCTGGACGCACTACATACTACAGCTCCTGGCTCTTAACCCCCTTCTCTCAGCCTCTCTTTCTTCCCAACATTGTCTCCTCTGCTCTAACTCCTCAGAGAGGCTCTGCCTCCATGAAAACATCAAGTCTAGGGAAAAGGATAAACCAGCTTACCTTGGCCCAAGCAAGCTTTTCCTGGATAGTGACATTATTGGGTTCAACGTGCCGAGCAAACTTGAGATTGTTGATTGTGTATTCGTGACCGCAGTAAACTCTCTAGGAAGAAAAAGGCAGAGTGACTCCAGGTAACTCTGAAGGTACAAAGGTGGAGCGCCAGGTACCATCATCAATGTTACGGTACAGCAGGAACTACAGAGTCAACCCTCCAGGACACACAACACTCTCCACTGGAGACATGTACAGGAGAAGTGCCAGGAGTTATCAGTCAGTACGATCTGCCAATTTAACGGCAAGCCTGATGACAGAGCCCAGGCACCCCAGCTCGCTAGCCTTTGTTTTAATAAGCAGCACCTACTCTTTCCGCACAAAGCACAAACATATTTGGGGTAGGTATTTCCTTCCCAGAGGACTTCAGCTATTCAGCATCAAAGACAATTCCTAATGTAGTCATTCATTCATTCAACACATGAGAAATTCTCTCTTTGAACAACAGTATTATTAGGAAGACAGTTTCTTTGCTGTCTGTAGTAGTTTCTGGTTGGTTAACATACTAGCACAAAAGGAGAGGTTCATACCGTTTGGGGGTCCAAGCTGCCCAAAATCTCAATCAGCGCTCTGTACATTTCCTCCGGGGTTCCCTCGAAGAACTTCCCACAACCAGCCACAAACAGCGTGTCACCTGCAAGGGAGGTGTGACACGACATCAGGACCAGACAAGGCTCCTCACACCAAAGCGTGAGCACATGGTCCCCAAGGACTCAGTCCTGCCATTGCTGTCCTCGCTGCAGCTCACCAGAAGGCACAGGGAGAGCCAGGCTACACTCGCTGCCCCGCGTGGGCTCAGCGCTACGTAAACCCGCACGGCAAAAGCAACTTTTAGTGCAGGAAACCCCACAGCCTTGCCAAGCAAACCATGCCAGCGCTTCCTTATCTGTGGGCAGTCTGCTGTCCCCTCTTGTCCTTTCTAGAGTGGACAAGGAGCATTTGTTCTCTTTGCTATGAAGCTGAACAAAGATGAGTCGCCTCTGCATTTTCTACCCAATGCTCCCTAAAATCTTGCTTAAGCCATTACTTCTTCCATGCAGCGGCTGGTGCAAGCTCTGGAGAATGCCTGTCAGGAGATGGATGACATGGCAGCCTGGGGAGACTGGGCACAGTCGCAGGGAAGGGGGAACCCTACTCTCCAAAACAGGATCCAGAACGTGGCTACCAGAGATGGAGCCCTCTCTTACTCCCCTGTTTTCTCTTCTCTCAGTTTTGTTATAGACATGAGTACAGACATATGGAAAAGCAACAGGTTTTGGAATCAGCCACAGTTGGGCCTGAGACAGTAAACCAACAGCTCTTGTTTCAAGGAAGAAAACGCTAGATGTAGGACTCATCCAGGGCTCGCTCTTGATGTTGCTTGCAGGGTGTCCAGCAACGGTTTACAAACCCAGAGGGGTTTCACCAGTTTCATCTACAATTACTACTTGGTAGCACTTGTTAAGGGGGCAAGATGTGGATGTTAATGGGCTGCACTGGCAGTAAGGGATGAATGCACATCCAGAGTCAGGAGCACACAGGCAGAGGGGTAGCTGATTTCTTTGCAACACAGACTGCCGGCAATGTAACCTCCCAACTCCTCACCTGTAAAAACAGCAGGTGGCTCGGAGCTATTTGGCTTAGTCACATAATAACAGATGTGTCCAGAAGTGTGACACGGCGTACAGAGGCATTTCACATTAAGAGATCCCACCTGAGAAGAAGGCAGAAGACTAGAGCTTAAGCTACTGTTTGCTAGCATTTGTATGGTTAGAAAAGAATTGCAACTATTACATTGGTCTAGTAGTCCTACAGGCAAATTGTTACATAGCTGGGCAGTATATATCAGCTCTGCTCCTGGGAGAGTCCAGCAAGAGGGGTTTATGGCAGGAACTTGGAAGGGAGCTGTTTCCTCCTAGCAGGTGTTGTGACAAAGAGAAATGCCAGATTCTTTCATTTACATGCAGAGTGACTCAGCGTCTGGTTGGCAGCAAGAGCAAACAGATCCAGAGCAACACAAAATCCTAAACAAAATTAATCAAGTGTAAAAAGCTCCAAACAAAAACGAAGCTGAAGGGAAGAAGTGGATGACACAAAAAGGGAAGGATTAAACACATTCATGAGGCCAAGGGGATGTTTCCCCCACAGCCCTAATTTGCACACCTTCCCATGTATTTCTGTACTCCCTTCTTTACAGCTGCCCCCCCGAAAGGTGCACCTCAAGACTAGCAGTGACATTCATGCCAACCTGCACATTTCACAGCAGTTTCTGTCATTTGCCAGCTCGTCTGTAAACAAACAGGTTGGTGCCAACAAGGCTTGCTGCCTTAGCTCTGGAAAAGCAACGCAGGCAGCTATCACTGCTGGCCCGCTTTCTCTTCACCCTGTATTCCAGCCTTCGCTCAGAGGACCACTTGCATTTCAGTGCTAACTCGGCTCTAAGCAGAGCACAAGCCCTGTCCTTTCACACACCAGTTCTGACCACCCCAGTTAAGGCAGCTGTCAAGGAGCACACGGACACCCAGCATGCCCCAGGCAATGCAGGCGTCTGAGCCATGCCAATGTTCTCATCCATGAAGTATCACCAGCCAAAACACGACAGAGTTATGGTTCATAGGGCTGGAAAAGGGCAAAAGCCGTACTTCAACTATCAACTACATCCAAGAGATGTTAAAAGGTAAAAGAGCTATGACCACAATATTAACTCAAGTTGGACCACACTGGTCCAGCTCTACAGCTGTGACACAAACAGAAGACGCCCCCAACCGAGTCCTGCAGCTCCCTCCTTTTACCTTGAGTGATGTAAGGTGAGACACTTTCTGTGTCAGTGCTCCGACTCTGCTGTCTCCACCGTACACACGCAACCCTGTCTCCATCTTTACGAGCTTCTCATTCCCTCCAGCATGGTCCCTGGAAGATCAGAAAAATTGATTTGGGTAGGGATGAAGACAAATTTATCATGACTCATATTGCAATGGTAACCTCCAGGTCATTATTTCTGATCAATTATTCTCCCAGTATCTAACACTGTATTCATATCAAAGAATATGCCACATCAACACGAGTGGAGATAATTTTTCCAGTAACCGGGGCAGTGAGAAAGGGGAACAACACCCCACAAGCTCATACCTAGTTGGGAAACACCAGCCTTAGGGGCTCACAGTCAAGTCTCCGGTAACTAGGGCAGGAAGAGATTGGGATAACTGGGATATGTGTAACTCAGTGTCCCACAAGACACCATGGAGCAGGCACACAGATGTCCAAACAGCTCAGCATTCGCTTGCGGTGCTGGTCCTGCCAGATCAGGGCTGGCTCTCCAGCCACAGAGGCGGCTCTACTATAGGAGTGGTTACTCAAGTTCAGCATTGCAAAACATTCATCATTACATCCCTGGCAGTTAATCTGCAACGCAGGTAATCCTCTCACAAGTGCTGACTGGGAGTAGCATGCCTTACAGGCATGTCCTAGCACCTCAGCGTGAATGTGCACCCTCCCACACTCCACAGTTACCTTCACTCACATGTATTTCACTGGTCACCTGGAAGAAGTCAGCATTTTAAAGGTTAACGGCACTGACACACAGAGCTTTCAGTCTAGACAATGCACCTATTCACAGCAAGCCCAAGTGAATACTTCCTGAGCTCTGATCCTTCTCCTCACACCTAAGCTCCTGCTTAGAGAAGACCAACTTGATCCAGAAAAGCAACAATTCTTGACTACTTGTGTTTATGCAGAGGGAAGAGGGATCCCACTACAGCAGATAGTTACCAGTGATGATGTGTGGTCAGGACAGTGGTCAGCTTCACGCCATGCTTTTTGACTGCATCCAAAACCTGCAGACACAGGGCACAGCAAGACCATTACAACTTAAGTGAAATGACTTAACAGCACACCTGGTGCCTGCCATAACCTGGACACAACTGCTCGAAGGTTTGAGAGCCACACCAGCAACTCCGCAGAGAGCTCATGCCTCTCCGAGTCGTAGTTACAGATGAGGACACAAGGTCTCTGACCCAGCTAGCCATGACTAAGTCCTCAGTCCTATTTCCTTTTTTCTGCAGTACATCAAACTAAGGGCAAAAACCAAAGTCAGGTCAATAACCCTTGAAGTCAGGGACAAGCTGGCTGAGCCCAGAAGCAGACTGCCTTTGAAGCCCCATCCGTACCTATGCATGGCCAGTATTTCCTGCCTTTCCCCCACGCCTGAGTCAGCAGGTGACTAATTCTGTCGTGGATGTGGCAACCTGGAAGGATCTCCCAGGCCCGCAGCAGTGAGCACCCAGCTCACAAGAGCAGCGGACAGCATTACCTTCTGGGGCTGCACAGGATCAACTATTGCAGCCTCCTTTGTTTCCTCATCGATGAGGAGATACATGTAGTTGTCTGTGAGGGCTGGGAGTAATTCCACCTTCATGTCGGCTTGTGTGACCGTCTTCGACTCCCTCCGCTCGTGTTCTGTGTGCAGGAAGACAGCTCGCAGCTGCGCTGGACCTGGGGACCCCAAAACAGTCAAACCACAGGTTAGCCCAGGGAGGGGAACAAGTGGGACAGAGCACAGCAGGTCCCACAGCCCCAGAGAAGGAAAGGTATGGACAGCCCAACCTGCTCCCTTCAGAGGAAGAGGAGAGAGGCCACCACAGCCCAAAGCCTTGGCGCCTGGCTGTGTCACCTTGTGCCCCACAGCGTGGGAGGCTCTTGGTGCCCTACAGCTTCACCGAAGAGGGATGGGACACTTTGCTCCCAGAGATGTGTTCATGCAGGGAAAGCGCTGTACCTCGAGGAGGGAAGATTTTAAGGGGCAGGAAAGCAGAAAGGAGAGGCAAGAGCCGGACAAAGGTCAGTCTGAGACAGTGACTTTGCAAAAAAAGCACAAAAGGCCATGTTACAGCCAAAAGACAAAAAAAGGAGGGGAGAAAAAAAAAAAAAAAAAGGAGCAACACAGAAATACACACACTGCTACAACAGAAATATCTGGTTCATTACTTGGGGAAATCACATCCTGCATGGAGAGAAGACAGGCTCTCTGCATGGAAGGCATGACTCCCTGCCTGGCCAGCTACCAGGCACACACTGCGGGCAGGTTTCTTGCTCACGGGCTACCTTGATGTAACAGCAGTGCTTCCCTGTTTGCTTTTGGTTAAATGTTTAATCAGATCCAAGAAAAAAAATCTAATTCCAGACGCAAATAACCTGGGCTCCACAGTTCAACTCACAGATACACAGTTCTTAAAGAAACAACCAAGCCCTAAGAGGCTCTGACATAAGAGGGGAAAAAAAAAAAAAAAAAAAAGAAGATAAACAAAGAAGACAAGGTCTTCCATTGCTGGAGCCCTGCAACACAGGCCTAGGTCATACGCATGCAAGGAAAGAGATGTTAGTCTCTGCAAGTCAGAAATTAGATGTCTTAATGCCCACAGCCCTCACACACCACTGAAGGTGACTGCGTTGGTCTGAATTGTGCCAGCTCAGTCACTGTTTCATTTTGCGGCACAGACTCTCTCTCTAAGGCTCCTGACGCTCCGTGCTTGGTCACCTCCATCAGTGCCAAAGGGAGGGGTCACCATGCTCGTAATCAACCTTCCCCACTCTCCCAAAACAGGTCAGTCCTGTCCACCCCTGATAAGAGCCTGCTTCAGAGAGAAGAGGCCCCACAGAAGAGGCTATGGCCAACACGGACAGCCCCGCTGCAGCTCCACAGACCCATGGGACCAACAAGGCTGCAAAACCAAGATCCAAGTTCTGACCGGCGCGTGCAGCTGCTGCAAACCCAGTCCCAGGGCAACCGGAGCTCTAAGGCCCCTCTGCTACAGCTGTCCTGTCCAGAACTTCTTCTGCGTCCACCATCTCACTTGCTTATGAGGGAAGGGAGATACGGAGAGGAGATGGTAGTAAAATTAAACACAGTGCTGCAAAGAAAACACCAAGACAGCGTAGGCATGCACTGGGTATTTGACAGTGAAGGCATATAGTATTGAGAAAGGCATCCATACCTGCCAAGCGTTCCTCTGGAGCAGAAGAGTCCTTTCAAAAAAAGAGCAAAACAAAAAAAAACCCAAAAAACAACCTTACTATTCCTTAATAGGAAAAAAAAAAATCAATTGCTCTAAAAATGCTCCCTAACATGAAGCACTGTTGGATGCTATCAGTCACAAAAGCTCTATCTACTGAATGTTTGTTAGCATACTAGACACTAACTGGAAAAAAAAAAAAAAAACCAAAACAAAACCAAACCAAAGAATGATCAACATTAAGTCAAAGGAATTATTCACATACTTAAAATGCTTTCTTCCTATGAACCATTTCTAACCTTGGCCATGATCCCAAAGTGTCTTTGCATGTTTAATTCACAATTCTTGCAAAACAAACAAACAAGCTACACCGCATAAGGAAATGTTTTCTGAAATGTAATTTAAACAAAGGAATGAGAAAACACCCACAAAGTATGAAACTAATTCTGAATTCCCATCTGCAGCTAAGCTGCACCTTTGCAGCCTGCCCGCTCGGCAAGCAGACCAGAAGCACTCTCACGCACTCCCAGCACCGCTCCGAGAAGGGCGTTCTCAGACCCAGTTCTGATCAAGGGAGCTCCCCAAGCGATACATAATCCCTGCCCTGGCCCAGGACGAACACAGATCATTTCAGGATCGCTGTCATGCATGCAGGTCTGCTCCAAAATGCCCAATGACTTCATTTTCACTCAGTTTTGTAACGTGGCCCTCCTGACTTCATGCCTGAAGTAGAGAAGACTGAGGAGTGCAGAACACCAGCAGCCTTCAAATCACACACTTCAGCTTTCTGGAACAGTTCATTAGTGCAGCTTGAGTCGCCAAGAGAAAAGGGTTTGCAGATGGGAAGTGTTAATGTTATCACATAAATGCATACATGCTGGAGACTGAAGGCAAGCAGGCAGTAGCACAGTGCAAAAGGGATGCTTCATACATTTTTCTCCACAGCATTTTGTCTTACTCTTTTTAATACAGAAAAGAGTAGAAAATTCCTATTTCAAGCATGGCTGTCACTCAAAAATGAGTGCACGTACATACCCAGATGAACATCCCTGCATGGCTTCATAACAAGAAACACTACATTCACTTTTTACATACTCTGCACGCAGATATTTTTTGGATACCCAGCAAGCTTGTGGCTCCACACAATACCAAGCCAGTTGGTCCACAAACCTGAGGCAACTCCCACTCCCACTCGATTTGCCCACCTGGCACACGCTGCCGGTGGCACAGTTGGGTCTAGCCAGCGTGGGCAGGGCATGCACCCATCCACTGGCGGAGCAAAGCCTGCGTGGAAGGCACAGCACCCACCCCACAACCTGGGGAACTCAGGAGCTGCTAGTTACTCGGTTTGACATACTTGTTCCCAAGATAGCATCAGGGTTTCCAAGTCTGGCAGTTAACTCCCATGGACTCTTGGTCATTAAGGCCAGGTCTTAAAATTGGAGTGATGCAAAAGGCCTCTGGCAAGACTTCCCACAGACGCTGTGAAGCTAAAGCCCAAGCTCTAGTCTAAGGAGATGCTTTCAGGATTTAGTCCCTAAATTTAAATGCAGAGCTTGGACAGTTTTGGTTTCGTTTCTTGTTTACATTGCCAATAGGGTCTGCTATCCATCAAATCCAGTTTAAGTGCCAGCCCCTCTCCCCCAAGCCCTCCTCCCAGAGCAATCACCAGCACTTTGGCAGCCCAGAAACTCCGCAGGAGCCTCCCAGATGGGTTATCGATGCTAAAAGCCACCGACAGAGACAGGCTCCATCTGAGCAGATATTGACCTACTTGGGGCTGTGAGTCAGCTTAAAAACCTCGGCGCACCCCTGAGCTGGGAAAGGAGAAGAGAAAAACCACCATCAAACTGCCGAGCTGCCAACCGGGCTGAACCCAGCCGCCAGCCCCATACGGCCACCCACCGCCGGCTGCCTGCAGCCGCCCGGCTCCCTGCGGGGCCCCCCCCTTCCGGGG